TTTTGACTCTAATAAGTATATAACCTAAATTGTTGACATACATAACAAGGTATTATATTTTTAAATTTTACTAAAATAGCGAGTATTATCCTGTTGAGTATCAAAATCTGACATACAATTCAAACTTGATTACTTATTAGAAGCAAAAAATTAATACTTGATAGTCTGATGCATCACGTAAATTTGTAAAATGTGAAGTACGTATAAACAGATTTTAAATTTTCGCGAATGCAATCTTTTAGGTTTTATTGCTAAAAATTATGTGACATTCAGTGACTGATTCTGAATGAACTCTTGACTTGGCTTCTGTACTGTGTAGCTGTTGAGAGAATATTTTCATCTACATCAGTAATTACAAAAAAGTTTGGTAAGAATATTATCTTCCATTCTGAAACTGATGTTTTACCAAGTCAACAAATTAATGTGATTACATTTTGAAGCATAAAATTTTAATCAAATTGCAAAAACAAACTATCATTCTTAACATTGAATTATTTCAGAAAAATGCAACAAAATATTTTAAAAATTAAGAGGAAAGATTAGTTTAACAATATCACTGTTTTACAGTACAAAAAATACTTTAAAAAGGCGTTTATAAACTTGCTGAAATTATAAAATATTGTAAAAACCGTCTTAAAACTAAAACATGTAATCCAAATTGTATTTGAATGAATTAGGATAACAGTTATTGTTCACACTAAAGTAAAAACATTGATTATGTTAGGATAAATTTACTAATATACCGAAAGTGATCAAAAACATGATCATTTTTAGTACCGCAAAATTTAACTTCTGCCTTTTGAAATTTAATTTGATCTAAAAATTCAATTTAATTTGATCTAAAAATTCACAATTTTGAGCTAATTATTGTCAAGCCTTTGCATAACGTCCATAGAAAAAACAAATTAAATATAAGATAATAATATTTTTGTAAGCAGTGGATGAAATTTAGATCTCATCTGCCACAGCAAAATAACTGAAATAACAAACTATTAAAGATATGATTGCACTATATGAAAATTAAAGCTTATTAATATTTTTTTCCAGAAATAAATTTGAGGTTAAATCTGTTCAAATTGAAAATCAGTCAATAAGGTATAAGGTATATATGCATAATATTACTATCAAAATAATTTAGTATATTAACTTTTCATCATATTTCAGAGATGAAAGACTACTAGTATTGTCAGTGACACGAGACCAGAATGATGGTATCCACTGGGGTTCAGTTTCCAATCTTCTAATTACTTCCTTCAGTTCTTGCAGTGATCGATCCAAATCAATGTTCACTATTATCCGATCAAATAAATGACCATATTTCTAGACAAAATAAAATATTTACTTTGAAAAGTTTCATACTTATTTAAATTTTCTCAGAAATTTTATCGTATTTTGATGAATTTTCGATACTTTTTAAAAATATTCTGATCTGTGCAATCAAATCTGCTTAAATCGGAATTTTTGAACTCATATAATCATTCATTCTTAGAATAAATATACATGTTTTGCAAATTTAATTTTTTGTTAATTAATTAATAATGTTCATAGATTGCAATTTGTTGAGTAGGTAAGTATGAGTGCTAGTTTGGATTCAATGAAATCATGAATCAACCTGTTCTGTTGCTTTGCCTTCGTTAAGAATAGCTTTCAGTTGCTCGTCTTTGATGCTGTGTTGACCAAGAATCTCTTTCTGTCGACGAAGTTGCTGCAGTGATGGTGGAGCAATGAATACTACGTAAGGCATGAAATTCGTCCTTCGTAATACTTCCAAATTCTGAAGCATCCATTACTTTCATCCATATTTAATATGAAGGATTTAATAAGCTTAAACAATTTTAAAATTTGTCATGATATTTGTTAAAGTTTTGCAAATGCAAAATTTAATATAATATATTTAAAAAGTGAAATAAAATTTGAGTTTTTGGTCTAAAAAGTTAGATGGTTTAAATTCTTTTATCTTTACAAAGTATTCTCAGATCAAATCAACTTATTTGTTGAATTATTCAAATTCAAGCACCTTTATGGGAACAAAATTACCTCAGCTTTCAGCGTTAATAAGCATATCTTGACCTTGTCGATGACCGATTGAATTGAACTCAGCGAAGTACCATAAAAGTACTTTTGAAACTCACCGTATTCTATGAATTTTCCAAGTTTGGCATCTTCTTGAAAAACTTGCTTTGACACAAAATGATAATGTACACCGTCCACTTCACCGACTTCACGTGGACGTGTTGTATCTGTAGACAATAATTTTTGTACGACCAAAAAATTTCAAAATTACAGGTGAGTTATAATGACTGTTAAGTATGATAGAAATATGTTCAACATCATATACAAATAAATGTTCTTGTTCAACAAAATACTGCAATGATATGAAGGATATTTCTTGGAGGACGTTATCAAC